CGGCAAATCTCTCCAACATTGATTTAGGGCAACTCTCTCTCAAACTTTGATTATTGGCAACTCACTCACCAACTTTGCTTTATAATACTCACTCACCCACTCTACTTCACGGCAACTCTCCCCAACATTGATTTAGGGCAACTCTCTCTCTAACTTTGATTTAGGGTAACTCTCTCTCCAACTTTGATTATTGGCAACTCACTCACCAACTTTGCTTTATAATACTCACTCACCCACTCTACTTCACGGCAACTCTCTCCAACATTGATTTAGGGCAACTCTCTCTCCAACTTTAATTTAGGGTAACTCTCTCTCCAACTTTGATTTATGGCAACTCACTCACCAACTTTGCTTTATAATACTCACTCACCCACTCTACTTCAGGGCAAATCTCTCCAACATTGATGTAGGGCAACTCTCACCCACTTTGCTTTATAAACTCACTTATTCACTCTGCGGCACACCACTTTACCTTCAGTGTTATGGTGTAAAACACGTTCAATTCTTCAAACTCGTACACCCCACAAGAGACACACGTAACATGTATTCTTGCCACTGGGCTACAACAAAACTCGATCCCACCACGAACAACGGCACCAACCGTCTGCTCACGTTGGCCACGCTCATCCATCAAACATAGTGTAAGCATCGTTTATCGGTTTAGTTAATATTAGCGACCAATTAACCCCATCCCAACGGAAGAACACCCCATTCCAACGGGAGGACAATCCCTCCCAACGGGAGAACACCCCATTCCAACGGGAGGACAATCCATCCCAACGGGAGAACACCCCATTCCAACGGGTGGACAACCCATCCCAACGGGAGAACACCCCATTCCAACGGGAGGACAATCCATCCCAACGGGAGAACACCCCATTCCAACGGGAGGACAATCCATCCCAACGGGAGAACACCCCATTCCAACGGGAGGACAATCCATCCCAACGGGAGAACACCCCATTCCAACGGGAGAACACCTGGAAAGTACAACGTCCACAATTAGGTCTTGTAGCAGAGTTAAATATTAAAAATTAAGACCATCCAATCGATCGTTTCTGTGGGCGAACGTTACAGTACCTACTACAGTATTTTGGCCGTGCTCAGGCTTAAGATCAATCTCATTCAGATCTCCGACTAGCCAACCCGTGAGGTAGGATGCGAGCCCTCCTAGCCCAACTCGAAAAATAAAAAAAGGACTAACAGCTATTCCGTTTAATTCGCTTTCTCATAAACAATGATCATGATATAGTCGGAGTTATACAATCGACTCTGCTGTTAGCAGGGGTTTCTAATGAATATGGAAAGGATTTTGTCGCTTTTATTTACGCTTGAATGAATTGATTTCTGACATGATCAACGGCACCAACCCGCTTTTTACAATCATTTCAGACATTGTTCAACGTCATGCTCCAGTTTTAATATAAAAATCCTTCCTGAAGATCTCTAAATAAACTAAGTGTAATATTTTATTCATTGCGTGATGTAGGCCATAGCTACATTCTACATTACAGGTATACAGTGTGAGAGAATTCTAAGTTACAGTATACATGCAATTTACCAAAGTCGCAACCGCATGGCTTTATAAGCAAAGATAGGTAAGTTTGAACAAAAGATAAATCATTTGAAGCTATCAAAATATTAAACTTATATAATGTAGAGTACAAATAGAATTCATGTATCTTAAATGGCGACAGCGTCTTCAAGTTATCACGAAATGATATCCTTCTACTTGGCGTTGGTTACAAGAAAAACAGCCTTTACGATTTTCGCTCTTTTTGTATTTCTCAGTCTCAATTCGAAGCTGGCGGAACAACATCTAAACTGGGCAAGGGCAGTCCGCTAGTTAATATAGTTATTGCTTTTAAATAGGATTCTAAGCCAAAAGGAATTTTTGCATGCGTCACACAGGGTTGATTTTGAACTTAATGATAGGGCTGCGTGCCAATATGTTCAAAAGAGTGAGTGAGTGAGTTGGGTTTAACGCCGCTTTTAACAATATTCCAGTTGTATCGCGGCGTGTCAGCTTAATGTGGGAGGAAAGCCCGAAGTGATGCAGGTCTCAGACGTTTACCATGCTCAAAAGAAGATTTTAGACGAAGTATAAATTCAGACATGAAAGTGTCAATGTCGCTTATAAATTGCTGTTCCCACACGTATCCAAAAAGCAGTAGAGAACAGGTGTTCAACTTTTGATGTCCCGGTGGTCTTACCATTATCACTGTCTAACTTCAATAAATCATAACAATTCTTTACCGAACGTGATCCTGATATACTGATTATTTTACACCAGTACTCAATAACACGGTTACGTGCAAATATGTAAATAGGGTATATTCAGCATTCTCCTCTAACCACATGGTCAGAAGACGACTTATTCACACATATTCCCTGGTAATTTTTCAACATCCTTACTTCAGAGTTATATCAAGAGGTAAAGGCTACATCATATACAGGGCGGTCGAGTAGCCTAGTGGTTAAAGCGTTCGCTCGTCACGCCGAAGACCCGGGTTCGATTTCCAGACAATAGACAATGTGTGAAGCCCATTTCTGGTGTCCCCCGCTGTGATATTGCTGGAATATTGCTAAAAGCGGTGTAAAACCAAACTCACTCACTCACATCATGTATAACGATTTGACAATTTCAGAGAGAAAGTTTTGCCTGTACGGAAGCGTTATCAACGTGATTAGACCAACACAATGATGTAGAAAATGACATTCCAAGCTATTTATTAAATGATACAATTCGAATTATGCTCGTTAAAAAAGACTTTTTACGACATGAGATAAATTACACTTTTTAAGACAACAATTTGTTCTTATCTAGATTATAAATGGCAGTTATCACAACACGATTTTAATATATTAATACGTTTTTGCAGCCCATGGACATTATCAGCAAAAAGGACAGTATCATCTGAAAATAACAACAGAAATACCAGAAATGCCGGAATGTAGCTGTACACATGGAACACAAGGTGATTGTATCTGTAATGCAAATCAAATCATAAATATTGAGAATAGGGAGGGACACATCACACAGCCTTGTCTGAGACCTAGAGGACAATTAAAGCGACAAATAAAATGTTATTAGCTTTACCACATCCCTTCACACAACTACAATTAGACTCAAGTGCCTTCAACACCTTAGGTGAAACACCCCTATGCCCTAGAATAAAACCTAATTTTGATCTATCAACGAAATGGTTGTTTCTTTTGAAGTCTACAAAAAGTGATAGCATTCAATAACAGCTTGAAGAATGCAAATAGTTTCTGCAATGGATGTTTCTTTTAAAGTCTACAAAAAGTGATTTCGTTTAATAACAGCTTGAAGAATGCAAATGGTTTCTACAGTGCTGTATCCTTCGTGATTCGCTAATGTATTCGCAAAAACTAGTGATATTCCTCCATAATTGTTAAAATTGAAGTAGTCACCTTTTTATGAAAAGGGATGATATCTCTATATCACGATTGAGGTAAATACAAACCTTCAAACATAACGGTAAACATCAATGATTTATGGATGGCAGTAATATAGTCCAGTATGCAATTCGTGGTATTATCATTGAAATCAATATTAGAATATCCCGTCTGTTCAGTGGGGTTGGCATCGCATTCTTCAAATACATTCTTAAAATGGGAAAACCATTCCAAATGCTTTATGTAAAGAATATCCCCAAAAGAAATTTGAAACAATCCTCGTGATGACATGGCATCTTGTGCAGCGCCTGTTCGGAGTAAAGTGGTTGAGGAGCAAGAGTAGTGATTGGGTCCGAGATCCCTTCTTCAAATCCGAGCACAGCGTAAATAAATCACATTACGAGATGCTATTCTCAACAACATTTTTTCCTCTTGATTTGTTGGGCAGTGGTGTAGCCGAGTGGTTAAAGCCTTCGCTCGTCACGCCGAAGGCCCGGGTTCGATTCCCCACAATGTGTGAAGCCCATAAAAGCGGCGTGAAATTATACTCACTCTCAAATGTGCATTTTATCCTGTTACAAATTCTGATAATGAATGCATTGCGTCCATAACAAAGATCCTACATCTGTTGTCACTAGAGTATACGAGGCAGATAATAAATTCACACAGAACAATTGCCTTGAAGAAAAAGCATGATTTTGGGAGACAAACTGGAATTTCCCTCAGCGAACATATGATTCCTTAAAGGGTTCTTTTATATATACAGATATGGTATTTTATATATACAGTGTGGTATTAGTTCGAAAACCGATATGAAATTAAATTTAAATCCCTGTCTAATAAAAACAAAAGTAATTGTTGTAAATCCCCGCATTACAAGTCAGACTTCCGAATTGATTAACCGAACAATCAATCTAGTTTGGGTAAACAACATTGAAAACAAGACAAATATCGCCAAAATCGGAATCCGATAATAAATCTAAAAAAACGGAAGATCGTAAAGCCTTGTGTCCTCCGCCGTGGTGAGCGGAGTAAAACCACACCCACTCACTCTCTCACATTCACTGTTTTGTTGTCCTTATTGTTAACAAGAACAATAGCCAAGGATACTGTTACACAAACGGATTAATAAAAAAACCCACCAGTGGATCGATATCATACACTTCAATAAACTGATTAGAAGATATGAGTTCCCATTATCTGAATGTATACATCAATAATTTGTACATGATACTATCTGTCGCTTCCGTTATCAAGGAAAGGCATTTAGAGGTGATTCACATAAGAGAGAGCTTGTGCGTCCGTTATCGTTCTTTCGCTATTCATCATTTCAATGCGCTACAATCATCATCGCATTTTACACTAGTTGATTTCCTGGACACATAGGTAGAAATTCACATAATTTGGAGATCGTTAGGCTTATAAAATGAGACATCAAAGCTGGCTATGCAAATTGACCCCTGACCTGAACTGTTGACCTACCCTCAGGGTATCATTTATCACACGGATGGAGGAACGCCGACAGCCTCACCTGGTAATACGTGCATAACTGTCTCACCTGTCTCTAGCCGGGCAGGACATAGCACAAACATCGTTTACCTGTCAAGTGTACGTGTAACATCTCGGTTAAGGCGGTAGAGAAGATTGCATTTTAGGTACGCGATGGGAAAGTGGTCTTAAGATAAAGGATGGTAATGTTTCTCTGCATTCAAGGAACTGGTGAGTATTGAAGAATGTTGCAAGTCATGATGTTATGAGCATGATGATATATACTAATTATATATTTCCCAAACTAGGCACCCTCCACACCTCGAGCTGAGGAGTGTAGTATTTGTGTGGATTGTGTCAGCATCAGGATGTTCCAGGATAATGTGAAAGAATAACATCCCATACATACACGTGTGTTCTTCCCATTCGTGTCGATTTGTTTAAACTAACATGAACTGATGATATTTTGGAAAAAGTAAATAATAAACCAGCAACGAAAATACATACTGTAATCATATTAGGATGTCGAATAATTTTTCTCTGATAAGGCATTTAACTTTTAACTGTAGCTTGTATACGATGTCTACGATATGCATTTTGAAAAGGAACGTCAACTTAGTAGAATTTAAGATGTTACAATATCAGCTTTGGGATAGAAGAAATATGAATATTTTAGAAGCAGTTGTTTAATATAGTAGTATTCGTATTGTTTTTCAGTTGAAAACATGTAATAGGTGAGGTGAAATTGGGTTTAACGTCGCGTCCAAGATTATTGCACTTATATAGCGACGTGCATGCACGTGTATGTGTGTGATTGTGGCTGCTTGTACTAGTCCGGACTGATGCCGATTTATAGTGCCAACTCACTGAGATACCATGCCGCAGTTTTACATGAATACCCCACTCAGACACAGTATACTGACCCCGAAACGACCAGTCCTTGTTTTAGCCCCTTAATGCCGAGCGCCAGACAGTGTAACAACAAGCACAATCTTTTAACGTCTTTTTGTATGACGCGGCCCGGGATCGAACCCCGGACCTTCCGCTCTCCGGGCGGACGCTCTACCACAAGACCACGGAGGCGGTCGAAAATATGTAATAAGCATTACAATTGGCTCGTTTAAAGTCATATCGATATGATGTATGGATTCATGTGCTGGTACGTGGTCCTGTGCGCAGCGCAGGGGAAGTTAATCAACGTCGGTCTCGGAGAGTAGTTGGATGGGTGACCACGTTGAGCAGCTTGACTCCTGAGAGTTTCTAGGGCTTCAGTCCTGCCCCACACTGAAGCACATGTACCACATGTGGTGTCTCCTTAGGCAGGTGACTTTGTTCGAAATGTGTCTCTGTTCACACAGCAGTGAGTGGGTACCCGGTAGGATGGGATGGTTATTTGGTTGTTAACCTTCTAGCGCCTCACAGGCAGCTTGGCTTGTATACTCCCCAGGGAGCTGAATGAAAATCGAGTGCTCACTGATCCATCGACCGGGGTAATAATAGTATAGCGCTATGAATGGAACCTGTCGCATTATATAAATGCACTTATTATTATTATTATTAACTCATCCACTTGAGTTTGCACCTCGTCCCCAATGTTTTGAGGGTGGCACTAGACCCGTCACGTCGCAGATCCTGTTCCATCACCGCAATGTGTTAAACCAATTTTAGTGTACTTGCTGCAATATTGTTTACATCGTCGTAAAATCCCACCGACTCACGAACCTATGATCAACTACTTTCAGGCATAGCCTTTATAGCATATATAACACTGGTCACCTACACCCAAGCGAAGCCGTTATAGCCTTTATAACACGGATCACCTACATCCATGCATATCTGTTATAACATTTAACTAACATCACCTACATACATGCACATGCAACTGATCAACGAAATTCATATCTACTCTTTATAACATATTACCGTCATCAGTTACATTCATATGTAGCATTTATGACATTTAAACCTCATCACCTACATTCATATGTAGCCTTTATAACGTATAACCATCATCACCTACATTCATATGTAGCCTTTATAACATATAGCCGTCATCACCTACATTCATATTTAGCCTTTAATACATATAGCCGTCATCACCTACATTCATATGAAGCCTTTATAACATATAGCCGTCATCACCTACATTCATATGTAGCCTTTATAACATATAGCCGTCATCACCTACATTCATATGTAGCCTTTAATACATATAGCCGTCATCACCTACATTCATATGTAGCCTTTATAACATATAGCCGTCATCACCTACATTCATATGTAGCCTTTAATACATATAGCCGTCATCACCTACATTCATATGTAGCCTTTAATACATATAGCCGTCATCACCTACATTCATATGTAGCCTTTAATACATATAGCCGTCATCACCTACATTCATATGTAGCCTTTATAACATATAGCCGTCATAACCTACATTCATATGTAGCCTTAAAATTTAATACATATAGCCGTCATCACCTACATTCATATGTAGCCTTTATAACATATAGCCGTCATAACCTACATTCATATGTAGCCTTTAATACATATAGCCGTCATCACCTACATTCATATGTAGCCTTTAATACATATAGCCGTCATCACCTACATTCATATTTAGCCTTTAATACATATAGCCGTCATCACCTACATTCATATGTAGCCTTTATAACATATAGCCGTCATCACCTACATTCATATGTAGCCTTTATAACATATAGCCGTCATCACCTACATTCATATGTAGCCTTTAATACATATAGCCGTCATCACCTACATTCATATGTAGCCTTTAATACATATAGCCGTCATCACCTACATTCATATGTAGCCTTTAATACATATGGCCGTCATCACCTACATTCATATGTAGCCTTTATAACATATAGCCGTCATCACCTACATTCATATGAAGCCTTTAATACATATAGCCGTCATCACCTACATTCATATGAAGCCTTTAATACATATAGCCGTCATCACCTACATTCATATGTAGCCTTTATAACATATAGCCGTCATCACCTACATTCATATGTAGCCTTTAATACATATAGCCGTCATCACCTACATTCATATGTAGCCTTTAATACATATAGCCTCATCACCTACATTCATATGTAGCCTTTAATACATATAGCCGTCATCACCTACATTCATATGTAGCCTTTATAACATATAGCCGTCATCACCTACATTCATATGTAGCCTTTATAACATATAGCCGTCATCACCTACATTCATATGTAGCCTTTATAACATATAGCCGTCATCACCTACATTCATATGTAGCCTTTATAACATATAGCCGTCATCACCTACATTCATATGTAGCCTTTATAACATATAGCCGTCATCACCTACATTCATATGTAGCCTTTATAACATATAGCCGTCATCACCTACATTCTTATGTAGCCTTTATAACATATAGCCGTCATAACCTACATTCATATGTAGCCTTTATAACATATAGCCGTCATCACCTACATTCATATGTAGTAGCTTTTTTAATATATAACAGTCATTACCTTCACGCTACTGCTGCAAAACCAGATGTTTTCTCTTAGTAAACTATTTATTCTAGAAAAACACCCTGCAACATTGTAATTTGTATGACAGACAATTATTTTCCCGACAGTCTGAAGCATCATTATTCTTTGTTCATGACTTGATTGCCAGTCTTCAAATCCCGGCGATGTGGATCGTTGCTCATAATATCAATCTCTGGATTGTCCGTTCGAAACTCGATTATTTACAAACCGCCGTTGTAGCTGGAAGATTGTTGAGTTCAAGTTACGAAACAAATATACCTAAAACCTTTGTCCTGATTAATCGTAATTGTTTGAGAAAACAAAACCCATTTGGATTTTGGATTTAGAACAATCCTCTTCACATTGCTTAATCATATAATGTGTTTTTAAATGTACCTTATTAATGTTTTATAAAATTAATTATTCCCTATTTTGATAAGAAGTCTTTACCCGTGATCAATAGTGACATATTATCTCACGTGATGGGGTATCAAGTTTCTAGGATGGATTTTTCTGGAATCAGAACGACAACGCTTTAGAACCTGAACGATTAATTGAGAAGAGATTTCCATGGGAATGAGTAAATTCCTTTATAAAGGGAGACAACTAGTGTAATCAAAGTTATGATGCCAAGGTGCAGTCTGTTTGAAAGCAAACTGTGGATATTTATTGAGCGACAAGAACATAGATCTGGATAGAAACAGACACCCCTATTCTAAATACATCCCCTTAAACACCGTCAACATGGAGCGTTTCTCTGATCGATTGGCAATGGACTTCAACAGAGGTAGGATAACCACGTTTTTCATCGTGTTAATGGTCTTTACGATTTGAAATTAATGTGTAGTGCAAGCTCTCGTAAATTTAGATATTATTCTGTCTTCATGGTATTCTTTAAAGAGGGCAAACATATACATAGGAAGATATATACATTTATGATACTGAAAATTGACGTGTTTTATGAGATTATTTTTCTAGAAACAATACGATTTTCATCGCTGTAAATTGCAATACATACAATAAATCCATACCCCCAAAAAGGTCAAAACCCTTCACTATTCATGAGAAATCTCAGAATGGCACGCAGCCCTATCATTAAATTCAAAATCAACCCTGTGTGACTCATTCAAAATTCCTTTTGGCTTAGAATCCTATTTAAAAGCAATAACTTTATCAACTAGCGGACTGCCCTTGCCCAGTTGAGATGTTGTTCCGCCAGCTTCGAATTGAAACTGAGAAACATAAAAAGAGCGAAAATCTTAAAGGCTGTGTTTGTCTTGTAGCCAGCGTCAAGTAGAAGAATATCATTTTGTAATAAGTAAACTACGGTTATAACGAACTCAAAGGGACCACTAATTGTAGTTCGTAATAACCGTAATTCGTTATAAGCATATGCATAACATAATTACAACAAATGGCCTGGACTAAAAAATAAGTTCGTTATATCGGTCAGTTCGTTATAAGCGTGTTCGTTATAAACGTAGTTTTCGGTAATTTGTAGACGCTGTCGCCGTTTATGATTTAAATATCTATCACATAAATTCTATTTGTAACCTACATTATATTATTATATAAAGCGACTAAACCCTTTCCATATCCAATAGAAATCTCTGCAAGAGCAGAGTCGATTGTTCGATTCCCGACTATATCACGAGCATGTGTTAAGGAATCACTATCACATAGAGATAATAC